AAATACATACAGAAAGTTACAACACAAATAAAAGAAAGAGGCTAGGAAGATAGCTCAGTAGAATAAGCGCTTGCTTGGCAAGCACAAGGGCCTGAGTTCAATCCCAGGTTCCACTAAAAAAAAAAGAAACAAATAAAAGGAAAGTGAGATCTTGAGGATTGGACAATGAGGAGTGGGCAAGGAGAAAATTTGGGAAACAGGACTGGGCAAAGCCATGTATTTGTACACACAAGATGGGTGGGGCAGTGATCCTGGGGTACATCAGCAGGTTTTTGAGGCTAGCAGTTGGCTAGGGAGACTCTTATCCTGACTAAGTGTATATGCTGGTGCCTGTGAGCCAGGTGGCTGCACTGAGGATGGCGATGTGTAATAGAGGGGTCACGCTTGGAGTGCTTGCCATCCTGGTCTTCTAAATATGTACTTCTTGTCACAACATACCATTTATTGCCATAATGTCTCTCAAGTAAAGGCTTTTTAAAAAAGGAGTAGTAAATTGGAAAAAAAATAAGACAAGAATGAGAAAAAAAGTCATAGGTTTGTCCTGTTTCAATTCTGCATATGGTTAGATTTCTAAATTTCTTTGTAAAAGTATATTAATGCTTATTTCTACCTCTATAAAATTATTTTTCCTTCAAAAAATTTTTGTTTTTCCTAGGATAAAAATATATTTCTTTAGTGTCTATTAAGAAAAAAGAAGAGGATTTGGCACAGTGGAACTTCATGGACTGTTTGAGGCGTGTGTGTGTGTGTGTGTGTGTGTGTGTGTGTGTGTGTTTTCTTTTTGAGACATGATCTCCTTATGCAGTTCAGAGCCTTGTGTTCACTTTGTAGTGAAGGTTAATCTTGAATTCACAATGATCCTTTTGTCTCAGCCTCCCAAATGCTGGACTTACAGGTGTGTACCTTTGTGTTTTGTTTTGAGGTAGGATCTCACTGGATTGCAAGCTGGAGTCAAAGTCACAGTGATCCTCTTGCCTCTGCCTCCGGAATGCTGGAATTGCAGGTGTGTGCCACCATGCCCAGCTCTCTGATAACAACATATTTTACAGGAATTAGAAGTTGATTGTCCCCTCAAGATGATAATATTCTAGTATTCTTGAAGAATCAATACAGATTCATCCATCCATCTATCCACCCATCCTTCCACCTTGGTGTATGAATTAAGCAGATAGCATGAGCTATTTGCCATGTTCTTGCATAGCTGTTTTCTGAAGTTGTATTTCCTGTATTTTCAACTTGCTTATAATTGGTGTTTGCTACTAGAATGTGAGCTCTTTGATGGCAAGGACATTCTCTGTTGATTCACCTCTGTACCCAGTGTGTTTAAACTGTTTGATACATGATTGTGTAGTAATTACATAAGGAGTAAGTAGAACTGAGATTTTAAATCTAGGAAGTTGGAATTGTTAATGAAATAAAATTTGCCTTCATTCTGGTTTTTTTTAAACAACAACAACAATGAAAAATGATACTTCCCCTGCAGTAGAACTCTATGTTAAAGTTATAGTCTGGGGAGCTATAGCTCACTTCTCCATCTATTCTTCCCTGTTAGAAATCAGGGTTTTCTCACCGTCCAGCTATGAAGAGCTCTTTCTCTGATGCCTGCTTCCGTATCTTTGTGTAGATATCCATAGTGAAGAGGGTGGTGGCACTGTTGAACATGGAGGTCAGTGAGCTCGTGAGGGAGGCCAACATGACTGACAGCATCAGGCCTCGAAGCCCTAGGGCCAAGAGAGGGCTCAGACATGTTAGAAGTTGGATGCCATATTCTACAACTACTTTGCTAAGTTGTAGACTATTCAGGGGTAAAGATACTATAGGAGACTTTGATTAGCTAGCATCATTATTATGAAAATATGTCAGCATGTGGTATTTTCTGGTGATTTGAGAATAATCAAATAAATTTTTTTCTAAATATTAACTTAGATCTGATCTCCTAGAAAGTTGTTTTGGAAGAGAGGAAAGAAACCAATCTCATCTCTTTTTGGGAGAGAAACTCTAGATTTCCCAAAGACTGAGAAACCTGTAGAGGCCTTGTAGGTTGCACTGCTAAAGAGCTGTTGGTGGACCAATATTTTGGTTTTAAAGCATTATTGGAGATTCGGTTCAGTACTTTCTGCTCATTACTAATGATGCTTAAGGCTGCTGGCACAGGGTAGGATGGGGTGTACGTAAGGCCACATTTATACATTGTGTTCTTATCATCCTGAAAATATTCACGGAGGAGAGCAGTCACATAACTATTACCATCATTTGATAGGCATGTGATAGAAGATCATTTGCTCACTTTTGAGATCTGTACTCTATTTTTGTTGTTCACCACCACAACAATGACCTTCTGAAATCCTTTTCATTTATTTATTTCATACATGACTTATTTCCTCCTTTGTAGAAGTGTAATATGTATTCCAAAATGTGGAAGGATTTGTGTTTATTTCACTGAACTTTTCTAAGCACCAAAGCAGTGCCTGGAAAATGCATTATATATATAATAGTAGATATAAATCAAGTAGATTGAAATATGTTGTTAGGGTGTCACTGGTCTAAAAATGCAAAGTAAATAATTAACCTCTTGTTCTCTGACATCGGAAACTTATAGCTATATAATTCTTTTATTGGCAAATAGGCAATTCAGATGTTTTAGACTGAATTAGTTGGAAGACAGTCTGAATCTGGAGGAATAAGATGCCTCCAACAGAAACTTCTCATTTTTAAGCTCTTTAGGACCATCTTATTGCTGACAGCCTGAGGGAAGAGCTTAAGAAATGTCCGATTAGTAGAATTAAAGTAATGAATGTAAGAATTATCAAGGATTTTTTCCCAGCCCTTCTTAGCCCACCTATCTACCTAGCCTCCAAGTCTGAGCATGAATATGTGCTTACCAGCAGGCATCAGTTCCAGCACCATTCTAGCATAGGCATAATTAGTGCAGCCAGTTTCAGTACCACAGTACTTCTTACATTCAGAAGGTACAACACAGGCCACCATATCTGAGGAAATTTACAGATGCAAGTTCAATGAATGGGCCTCAATCAGGCACCATCTATAAACACTGAAGAAAGAGACAAGATGAGCAGAAGGAAAAATATTTGCCTGGAAATTGAATATTTATTTTTGAATTCAGTACTATAGATTTGGTCACTTTTTTGCCCAAAACAGAACTTCCCTTGTGTCTTATGCTTGTAGTTCTCCTACCTCTGGTCTCTGGTGGAAGAGCTGCCCCTTGGTGTGGCAGGGCTAGTGAATTAGAGCAAATAGAGGGAGTTTATCACACCCTCAGAAAGAAAACAAGAGAATAAACTCTGAGAAGCAGTGAATTTCAGAAATAAACACCACCTCTATCCAGGAAGCTAGATCTCAAATCTACTTGTATTTATTCAGTGCTGTGTAGTTTCATCTAAGAAGTGACTTGTGATGGTCACTTAGTTGACTGGCCTATGAATGATGACAGTTGCACTGTAGCTTGAAAAGTTTTTTTTTCCTTACATCACTGATAAATAACCACCTAATACTTTAGTACATTTTCTTTTTTAAAAAATTCTTTTGTTCTTGTTTAATCTTTGCCCACAATAAGTGTTTTTTTTGGATAATATTTCATAGTCTCATTTCTACTTGTATCATCATAGTTTCTACATTTCCCACATTTGGGCACCTGGTATGTAGTTTTCCATATGGGGAGAAATTAAATTGAAGTAATTATGTGGCTGCTCGTCACTGTTGGTTATCCCTTCATTCTTACTGATGTAAACAACAGTGAAGCAAGGAGGGATGTCAGTTAGTTAATTTCAGTATTTAAGTAAAGTGAAATAATGTCTGGCTGAGCCAATAGAGTGAATAAAACATTATTTGATGGGTTATCACGATATAAATAAGTCCTTATTTGGTGAAGAAAGAATTGGATACATTTCCTTCACTTTTCAAAGCAATGCTTATTTATTTATTTATTTATTTATTTATTTATATTAGTACACATTAATAATGAAGTGGTGAAGTTCATTTTGGTAAATTGTTATATATATTTAATATACCTTGACCTTTTTATCTTCTTATCCCCTACTCTTTTTCTTCCCCCTGCTCTCTGATCCTCTTCCTCATATTCAATAGTCTGCATTCAAGTTTCTGCTCGT